TAAATTTAGTTTATAATTTTTTTCTCGAAAGGGAAAGATGTCATATAGTGTATATATAGGAGTGGGGAATAAAGTAGTATTAACTGGGCACTGGTTGTGGCTGCATGCTCCCACACCTCCACGTAACACAGTTAACTAAAATGTCTCAGCAGCAATCGCAGATTTCGCCGAATAATATAACTCCTTCAGATATCAATGTTAAAGCAACAATTATTGTGAAACCGAAGGATAAAACTCAGTCAGTACATAAAACTAAGTCTGACATCATGGCTAAAATTGACCCCGTTGATTCTTCTGTGCGTATTGGTAAGGTAAAAAATCTGAAAGAGGGAGAAGTCTTACTTGGGTGCGATGATGTCGGACGGTTCAAACAATTTGCAAAATCTAAAAAGCTCTCTTCTGACTATGACATTCGTGATATCAAAACGTTGCGGCCCCGAATTCGAATTGCCGGCATATCTGATTGGGTAGATGAAAGCTGTATTATTCCATATTTAGTTAAACAAAACGAGTACATCTTCAATAATGTGGACGAATACAAGCTTATAAAATTTTCTTCTTTGAAAAAGAAAGATAAGACAGACAGTTTCTTTGCGTTACTTGAAGTTGATATTGAGACATATAAGAAGGCTTTGAACATTGGACACTGCTTGATTGGCTTGGATGCCTGTTCAATTTACTGCGGAATAGACGTCCTCAGATGTTATAAATGTAACGGATACAATCACTCGTCGAAAAACTCTAACAGTGAGTTGTGCCCTCGCTGTGCTGGAAAGCATGTTGTAAAGGAGTGCACTGCCGTGAATCTGTGTTGTACTAATTGTTCAAACTTAAAATCCAATGAGAAATTTGAAAACATCGCTGTTGATCATGCTGCATAGGAACGTCAAAATTGTCAGGCATATCAACTGACGATCAATAAACTCAAATTCGACCTTTTCGGTATCTCTATATAGCAGTTAAAAGTTTTGTCCATCGATTCTAGTTCTGTCTCTGATCATTCTGCCTTCACTCTATCTCAGTCTTTTAATAAATCTCAAATTTCTGTCTATTATCAAAATACTCGTGGAATCAACTCAAAGTTGTCCGATCTTCATAATTCTATTCTCTGTTGTAATTACGATTTTATATGTCTGTCAGAAACATGGCTTAATAGTTCAGTTACGGATTCTGAATTCTGTCCCCAGAATTTCCATATTGTCAGATCAGATCGTGATTTTCATAAAATGAATGTAAAGGGGAAGGGGTATTACTAACCGCGCAGCATCGATTCACTGTTTTTAAAATTGATTTGTCATGTAGAGGATTTGATTCGTTACAGTGTACAGATGTAGTCTGTGCTAAATGTTCATTAGGTCATTTCACTATTTATATATTTGTTGTTTATGTTCAACCAATTGCAACTGTTGATGAATATGAATTGCTATTTAATTTACTAGGTAATTTTACCAACTTATATAATCAACAGGTTATTATCATCGGTGATTTTAATATTTCAAATTACCAACTTACCTTGTCATCTTCTTCTCTAAGTAGCAGAAAATTATCTTACCTTTTCAACTTCCTTGATTTCTGTGACTGTCAACAGTTTAACAATGTGGGAAATGCTAATGATCGTTTCCTAGATCTGGTTATCTCCAATGGTCACTGCTCTATTCTGAGATCGATAGATATCTTACTGGATGAGGACATTGACCATCCATCTCTTCTCATCACTGTGGTTTCTCGGGAATCTCAAAAGTGATCAATAGGAACAGTTCGGAAGATAAACTTTGGAATTTTAGGAGGGCTGATTATCCTGGCTTATACAGTTATACCTATATCTCGTATTGATTGGTCATGTATTCTTGATATTACAGATGTTAATCTGGCTTGTACTCTTTTGTATAGTCAGTTGAAGATTGGTTTTGACTTGTACGTTCCTTAAACGCGTCTCGTCCGTAAGTCTGTTTTTCCCCCATGGTTTACACCTTCTATCATTTGCAAACTTGAGGGCCGGTTGCATAAACGCAAATCAAATTTAATCTCTGATTAAGAACAATTGTAACTATGATAATAACAATCGTTACTATGGAGTTAACCAGAGATTAAATTTGATTTGCGTTTATGCAACCGGCCCTAAGTGTAAATGGCGCCTACTACGAAAATTAAGGTCCTCTAATTACATTAATAACTCTGAGATGATCAATGACGTCAGAAGACTACGATCTGAATTGAAATGTGACATTAAGCGGGCACAGCGCCACTATTTGCTTGATATGGAATCTAATATTAAATCCGATCCAAAAAAATTTTGGGCATATGTTAACAGTTTGAGGAAGTGTACTGGTATCCCTGCGCAAATGACTTATTCAGGTGAATTGCTTAATAGTCCAGAACAGATTGTCAATGCGTTTAGTGCGTATTTTACCAACAATTACAGTGATTGTGCTGTCACTAACATTGATGATTATTTTGATACTACACCTAATGTGTCTATTAGCCTGTCAAATATATCTGAGTCTGAAGTGCTAGGTGCTCTAAAGAAGTTGAAATCCAATTTTACTGCTGGTCATGATGGGATTCCTGCGTTCTTGTTATCTGACTGTGCTTCAGTTTTGTGTTATCCTTTGACCATAATATTTAATCTAATTTTAAAAACAAAAACTTTCCCTGACATCTGGAAATTATCTACTATAACACCTGTTTTCAAGAGCGGCGCTAGAAATGATGTGGTTCATTATAGACCAATATCTTTAATATGTAACTTCAGTAAGATCTTTGAGATGGTATTACATAATTTTTTATTATTTAATGTTAGCAGTAGTATTACTGATTCCCAGCATGGTTTTATCAGTGGTCGATCTACTACTTCGAACTTATGTTCATTTACTCAGTTTGTTTCGGATAGCTTTGATGCCAAGTTTCAGGTTGATGCGGTATATACCGACTTTACTAAAGCATTCGACAAACTAAACCACCACATCTTACTTGCTAAATTGCATAATTTAGGCTTCTCCGATTCCTTGTTGTCTTTAATATCGTCTTATCTATCTAATCGATCCCAATGTGTTAAATATTATGGTCACGTTTCTAATAAGATTTTAGTTCCATCGGGTGTACCGCAAGGTACAGTTCTTGGACCTCTCTTTTTCACTATTTATATCAACGACATTGTGAAAAAAATTAATTCTAGCACACTTATATACGCAGATGACTTAAAAATTTTCAGAAGGATTTCTTCTTTGGATGACTGTCGTTTATTACAGAATGATCTGGACCGTTTTTGTAAGTGGAGTAATACTAATTTACTTTCTGTGAATTTAAGGAAATGTTTTGTAATGTCATTTACCAATAAGAATTTAGAAATACTGTACAGCTATACCATTGATGACACTATTTTATCCAGGGTTAATTCATTCCGGGACTTGGGAGTTACCTTTGATTCAAGATTAACCTTTGCTAATCATATTAACAACATTTGTTCACGTGCATATAAATCTCTCGGTTTTATTTTGAGATGCGGCGGTAGCTTCCATGATGTTATTTGCTTGCGCATTCTATATTTTTGTAATGTGCTTGAGTATGCGAGCGTGGTTTGGGCTCCGTTCTCTCAATTACATATTAACTCTTTGGAAAAGATTCAGCGCCGATTCCTGAAATTCTTGGTTTTTAAAATTGATGGAGTGTATCCCGCAAGGGGCTCTTCCCATTCCACACTGTTGGCACGTTTTGGTTTTGACGACTTACAGACAAGACGCATTAGGGCTTCTTTGAATTTTCTCCATAAACTAATACACTTTCAAATTCATTGTCCTCATCTCCTTAGTAAATTGTCATTTTCTGTTCCGAGACCTTCGTCCCGGTACCATTACTCATTTTACTTACCAACTCCTCGTATTGACATTGAAAAGCACTCTCCAATATTTGAAATGTGTACCCTGTACAATCAACATCAAAATACTTTCGATGTTTTCATGTGATACACTGATAACTACTTTCTCTGGCGTTTCTTCCAACGGTTTAATTGTCCTATTGTCATAATTTAACCTTTCTTGGTCAGGCGGTAATTTATAGCTGTGTGATGAATTTGACAGTAGTTTTTATACATCTATACCTTTTGTATGTATCTGTTGGTCTGTAATTGGGACTAGTGCCTGTTGACCAACTTACTCTAATAATAATAATAATAATAATAATAAACAATCGAAGTTAAGCATGTACTGAAACCTTAAGTGATATCCAAGACTGTGAAGTTTCCGATTTTCTCCAGAAGTTTATTGTGTGTGAGCATGGTTTTATTACGACCGTTAAGAAGATCAAAGAGAATTGTGTATGTGGTCTAGATAATATACTAGCATTCATTATTATGGACTACATTAGCTGGTTTGTTGTACCTTTATTGCATATCGTTAATTTAATTAAGTATTGCCACCTGCATTTGTCCTCAAGAATGGAAGGTATCTCGTATTTTTCCTGTGTCAAAGTCTGGAGAGAAATCTGATATATCTGGCTTCAGACCAGTTACTCTGATATGAAATTTTGCCAAACTATTCGACACACTTTATTGTCATATATCCAAATATGTACCTAGTCTCGTTGCACTGTGAACAAGATGTGCTTCTAAGTCTTGCAAATTCCTTCAAAATATTGTCAACGGTGAAATAAAAAGCCTGGATATATTCAATCAGGTAAGCTTCTACGTTCCTCGATCAAACTGTAGGCCTCCTATCATGTTCTACTATAAGTTACCAATACGAACCATCAAATACCTACCACTAGTTCAACAGTTCATTGACCAATTATTTTAAAACTATATAACTGTGCCTTAATATCGCTGCCATAATCCCGCATTATAAAGGAATATCATATGCCATTTTGTCGTCGACTAGGACATCACAATCCTGAAAATTTAGACTAGTTTTTTAGAATGATATTTTACTACTTTGTAAATCTACATCGCTACACCCTTTGTGTGGAATTGATGTCATTTTTTGACGTTTGCAAAATAAATTCCCACCATGGTGTGCCTAAAACGAATAGCAGTGATGTGTCTGTTTTATACTACATTTATAGTTCATGCGAAAAAGAATGATTTGTTCGATCCACGAATCGTTGGTGGTGACGAGTGCGAGTACGAAAAGTACCCATTCGCAGTCGCAATTTTCACTAACTTGGTGTGCGGAGGCGTCATAATTTCCAAACGGTGGGTCTTAACAGCGGCCCACTGCATCAATTTTCAATACATCCGCAGTGGCAGAACCCTGTTAAGGACTGGTTTCAACTATGATCAACATTTTGTTCAAATAAGATTCGCCGTGAAAGCAATCTGTCACAAAAACTTTAACATATATCGTATGGGAGATATTGAGCAGCCTGAACTGCGCTACGATATCGCACTTATCCTAAATAACAAACCCTTTGACGAAACCAGGTATCTAAAAAGGGCTTTTCTCCCTGAACCAGGATTTACTAACAAATGCGCCGAAGCGACAGCGGTAGGTGTCGGATATCGTTCAGAAGTATTCTATTTCCAAAGATCCGAAAATCTCGCAGCATTGACAAGAGACCCATTAGAAACCGAGTATAACAGGACGTTACAGTGTGTGGAATTACCGATTATTGATACGGAAACTTGTAAAGAAACTTGGCCGACTTCGGTACTGGACTCGACAGTTATTTGCACAAGAGTAGAGGAAGGTGGACGAGACGCTTGTTCCGGCGATTCTGGAGGAGGATTGTTTTATGAAAACACGGTCATAGGAATTATTTCAGCAGGTCGTGGGTGTGCTATGCCTAAACTGGCTGCTACGTATAGTAAAGTCGAATCGTATTTAGATTTCATAAAGGAAACTATGCAGAACAACGCTGCCAGTCAAGTAATCTGGCTTTGGACGAGGGAGTTACTACTTGCAATTTGCGCGAAAATAGTTTTTTTCTTGTATATGTAAATAAAAATGCTACTGTATTCAATTTTGCTATAGCAATTTTAAAGAAGAAAAGAAACTGTTTACCAGTTACTGCACAAAAAAGTCACTAGTGTTTTAAAATCTTTTTTGCCGCATCTAACTTGGTGGTGACACTTCGCAAAATAGCCTTCCGTTACGCTACTAGGCACCCAGCCGCCATGCCTTTTCAAGTCCGTAAAATCACTACCCGCGTCGCCTAATAATGTGTCCGAGGAACGCCCGTAACAATGACCTGTATAGGTTTCTGGTTGAGATAGTTTCAAAAAAGAAGCTGCCAATTGAGGTATGCTTGATATAGTGTCGATTTCAGCTTGTATAATACACTTCTGGTTTTGGTAATTAAGGAAGAACCTTTGGTGAGGGATGTTTTTGGGGCGTAAAAGTTTGTACTTTTTATAAATATCAAGAAGATATACTGAATACTGAATACCCCTTATTTAGAATGTCGTTTCTGGATAATTTGATCAACTCTTCACAAGGGCGGGCTTCAGAAATTCCAAACAACAATGCGACCTAGATAATTTATACAAGTATTTTTATTATGCAAAAGACAAATAAGCGAATATGCCTTCATTAAAAGATACTTTCCATCTGGTACTTCTATAAAGAATTTTTCAATATCTTCTCTTTGAAAGCTTGTGATAACCCAAATTTCCTCCTTAAATTGACATGTGAAAAAGTTTGAAAGACCCACGAAAAATTCAAAATTTGGACTTGGCTGTGATTGTCTAACCAAATAGAACCCTACGTTATGCTTTTGTAAAATGGCGGGATGCGTTCAGATGCAAATGATGGACCCCAAGGTTGGAAAAGTACCGCTAAATAAAACACAAAATTTATGGAGGACACAAAATTATTTATTCCTCCACTGACAAAAAAGAGCTGCGTGCGAGGGTGACTCGTGACTTGTCCTTTATCTGCCTAATGGGGGGTCGAATCGCAATCGTTTCTCAGCTCCAAAAAAAAAACGTATTGAACTTTGGATGAAATTTCAATGAAATCAAATTAAACGGTCTGAATCAATGCAAATATTTGAAAATCACAAATTTAATAAAAACAAAGCAAAATCTGAAGTAAAGTAACTGGATGCAAATACACAAGTTATTACAGACGTGTGGCAGTGGCACCAAAGCGCTATAGTAGTGTGGCGATCGAACTGTGTCAATTTCATTCTAGAGCACAACAAAAATACTCATAGGGGCGTTGTAACGCGCGCGGAGTTTGGGACTCCTGGTCGTGGCTGTTTTCCTAGTCACGACGGTTATTCTATCTATCGCAACCACTGTCGCCCAGCAGTTCAAGAGTGCCGTTACGGTCGCAAATTCGAGTTGGGTCTCGACTATTGGGCCAAGTTGACAGCGTTACGTCATTTCGACGGCCCCTGATTTCTATTCTAATCTGCATATAGTTTCATAACTCCCACAGTCCCAGGACTAAAATGTTCGCAGTGTGGTGTGTGTTATCACATTAAATGTGTAGACATATCTAAGGGCCAATACGACAATTTTAAATCTATAACCGGTCTTGAATGGAAGTGTCATACTTGCAGAAATCTTGTAAAATCAAACACCGCATCTCCTTGCAAGTGCTGTGAAATTATTCCTCAACTTAAGTTACTGATTGATAAGTTATCAGACTCGGTAAAAACTCTACAAGAACAACTACTGGAAGCGAAAAATGTCCCCGCTGATACCAACTACGAAGAAATTGTTCAAGAAGTGACTGATCGTCAGATTCGTAAATCTAATTTGATATTTTATGGTATTCCTGAACAATCATCCACATTGCCGCCCGCAGGAAAGATCTCTAAGGACTTAGATTACGTGAAAGAATTTTTGGCCGAATTTGAAAATACGGATGAACCAACTACAACTATCCTTAAATGTAATCGACTAGGCAAATTTGATCCCAATAGGTCCCTTCCGCGTCCTATTCGTATTATTCTGGATAATCCGGACCATGTCCTTTCTGTGTTGCGTAAGGTAAAAGAAAACCGTAACAGAATACAGTACAGTCAGCGTTTTCATAATGTAAAGGTATCCTCTGACAAAACGCCGAAACAAAATGCATATTTTCGGAATGTGAAGCAAGAGTTACAACGTAGAGAAGCTGAAGGGGAGAGCGATCTTCAAATTAAGTTCGTCAAAGGTATTCCGCGCGTTATAAAAGTATCCAATCATTTAAAATCGTAAAGCCCAACATTTCATCTACTTCTTTATATTATCAAAATACACGGAGTATCCGAAACAAACTAAGCCAACTTTCAATTTCGGTTTTAGATTTAACTTATGACATTATTTGCATCACAGAGACTTGGTTACAAGACTCTATTTCTGATTCCGAAATTTTCCCTCCTCACTTATATACAATTTTTAGATGTGACCGTAATTATAATGCATTGAACTTGTCCAGAGGAGGTGGTGTTTTGCTTGCTTTGAGAACCCATATACCTGTGACAATTGTTGATTTAAGTCAATTACGGAATGATCTAGATATGATTGAAATTGTAGGTTGTAAATGTTTTTTAAATGGTACCTTTTTACACATTTTTGTTGTTTATTTTTGTAGAACTCCATCACTTAATGAGTTGTTAAGGTTTTGTGAATATTTTGAAGATAACTTTAATACAAATGAAAATTTCTTATTACTGGGTGACTTTAACGTTCCAGAATTCATAATAAACAATGATAATATTCTTGTTAACACTCTTAATAATTTTTGTAAATTTTTAAATTTAGAGCAATACAATGTTATTAAAAATAGAAACGGCAGGCTACTAGATCTTGTTTTTGCCAATGTTGATTGTTCTGTCAAACACGATGATTCCCCTTTAACTGTAGAGGACAGCTACCACCCTGCTCTCTCTATTGTGGTTAACATAACTAACACTACATTTAATAGCTTCCCCACTAATAATTCACCTAATACTAGTGTATATAACTTTAAAAAAGCCAGGTTTCACTTCCTCTATCATGATCTATGTAACATTGATTGGTCAGTTTTAAATACTTCTGATGACATTGATATTCTAACCGAGCGTTTTTATGACATTTTATATCAAGTTTTGGATAAGCATGTTCCAGTATATCATAATCATCAAGATAAAGTACAGTATCCACCTTGGTTCGATCTCTCTATTATTAAAAATATTAAATTTAAATCTTATTATCACAAAAAATTTAAACAGTCACTTAACGAATTTTACTACTCTAAATTTAAATATTACCGTAAGATTATTAAAAACCAAATAAAAGCTGCTTACAAAAAATATACTGACTCTATGCAAATAAATATTTCCAAAGATCCTAAAATATTTTGGTCTTATGTTAAATCAAAAAAAGGTCTTACAAGAATTCCGGGTAAGATGGCTTACAATGATAATATATTAAATTCACCTAATGACATAGTTAATGCATTCGCTATGTATTTTCAGACTTCTTACACTTCGTCGCAAAATTCATCGTCACATAAATTTACAACTGGAGTTCACTCTCTTCCCATAAATATCAGTAAAATCACTGATAAAGACATCTTGTCTGCTTTACGTAATATTAAAAATTCTTTTACAGCAGGGCCAGATCAAATACCAAGCTTTCTATTACGTGACTGTGCAGGTTTGTTTGTCCAGCTTCTCTCAATAATCTTTAATGTTGCTCTTAGTACTGGTACTTTTCCCTCAAAATGGAAAACCTCTAAAGTTACCCCGATATTTAAATCAGGTGAAAAATCGAATGTCAGTAATTATCGACCAATATCCATAATTTCAAACTTCGCTAAAATCTTTGAGATAGTTCTGTACTCGCATATCTATTTTCATATTCAGAATTACATAACACCTCAACAGCATGGTTTTATGAGTAAACGCTCCACTGAAACAAATCTCACATGTTTTTCACAATTTCTTTCAGATGCACTTGACAATCAGTCCCAAGTTGACACTGTTTACACAGATTTTGCAAAGGCCTTCGACCGAATTGATCACAGGTTATTATTGTTAAAGTTAGAATCGTATGGTTTTTCTGGTAAACTTTTGGAACTTATAAAATCATACTTAAGTGATAGATTGCAATACGTTTTTTACAATGGTTTTTCATCATTCTTCTTTAAGGCAGTATCTGGTGTTCCCCAGGGCTCCAATCTTGGGCCCCTACTTTTTTCTGTTTTTATCAATGATCTCCCTGATTCACTGAATTGTCACATTCTATTATATGCAGATGATGCTAAGCTTTTTTGTATTATAAATGATCTTGATGATGCTTTACAACTTCAGGAGGACTTGCATAAACTTACAATTTGGTGTTCTAATAATAACTTTTTCTTGAATATTAGTAAATGTAAAATTGTGTCATTTGGTAATAAAAAATCTCTTATTGTTTTTGATTACACAATAAATGGAGAACACGTCACCAGGTGTGATGTTGTAAAAGATTTGGGAATTTATTTTGATTCTCGGCTCTCTTTTCGGTTCCATATTGATGAAGTAGTAAAACATTCACTCTCTTTGCTTGGATTTATAATTAGACAATGTCGTGACTTCACTTCTACTGAACCTATGAAAATGCTGTTTAATACGTACATTATATCACGCTTACAGTATGGTTGCCTAATTTGGTATCCAATCTATTATTGCTATATTAATGTCATCGAATCAGTTCAAAAAAAAATTCTTAAATATTTATGGTTTAAAAAATATGGCACCTACCCTGCTAGAGGATGTGACAATTTGATACTTCAAAGAGAGTTTAATATACCGTCTTTACATGCTAGAAGAGAAGTTAGTGCTGTAATGTTTCTTTTTAAAATCGTCAATTATAAAAGTGACTGCAGTGAACTTTTGGCCAAAATCTTCTTTCATGTACCACGTGTAAATAACAGACACTCTTTACCTTGGCATCTATCCACCGCTCGCACAAATATTTTGGTAAAAAGCCCGATTAATGTTATGTGTAGTAATTTTAACAACAAACTGAGAGATTGTGACATTTTTAATATAAATCTAAAAGATCTTAAGTATTTAGCTTTAAGTATCTTCGCAAGAGAGTAATTATTAATTATCACTTATGTTTAGAATTATTATTATTATTATTATTATTTTTTTTTTACTTTATCTTATATTTTTCATCTGTTTTCTACTTGCTAAGTAACTCTTAATTTAGACTTATTATTCAGGTATCCGGTATATTTATTTGTACTTATTTATTTACTTTTCTTTTTATTTTTTATAT